TAGAGCTTACAGCAGAAGGAAACAAATTCTAAGTTTTATTATTGATAACAGAATCATCGACATTGACAGGAATAAATACAAGAACTATGTCCCTCTGTGGGCAACCAATTGAAACTTTTAGGAATGCACGATATAATCGGCCCCCTATTGGTATCGGCCTGTATCGGCCTTAAAACTGAATATCGGACATCGGCCACCCCACCGATATTTAACCCGATATCTGATCAGCTTCTGAGTTTCTAAAGTAAAAAAAAAAACAAAAAAACTACTTCTTCCTCAAAAACTTATTTTTCACAGACTTAAAAACTTCTAAAGATGAGGGAAAAAATATTGATACATTAAAATATCACAATATCTTCATATGCTGATATATTGCCATTTAAAAACATATCAATCTCTTTTACTAATGAAATATTGCTATATGTCACCGTTATGCTACGAAATCCCCCCGAAAATTCCCGAAATTTTGCCATATTTTTATATGTTGATATGTTGACGTGGTATAGATCTATTTTACTAACAAAATCTCACAAGAATTTGCAAAATATCACGAGAGTTTGTAACAGAACGATGAAATTTCCCGAGATTTTGAAAGTAAAATAGATCGATACCGCGTTTTTAAAAATCAATTTGATATCAGCATATGAAAATATATTTGAGTATATTATTTTTCAAAGTGCCAGAAATGGATAACAAAACTGCTAATTTAGATACGTTTTTTTTTTCTTAAAATAAGTGTATTTGCTTTTGGCTTCAGTAGGTAAAAGAGAGATTTGCCAAGGAACACGACAATTTACACTTACAATAAGAAAACACAATTGCATTGTCTTATTTCAGGTGCATTTTATCAAATTTTCTTATTTTAAGAGCAAAAATACTCATTCCATTGGCAAACTATCTAATTTACCTACTCAAATTAAGCGTAAATACACTTAATTTAAGACATTTCTACTTATTTTCAGATCCTTTTTCCAGTGTACCCCGAAATCCCATAAAAATTAATGAAATTAATGAAAAAACCCCCAAAAAATAAATGAATTGTAATTATTTTTAATGATCCGCGGAAACCCTGGATCATTTCCGCATGTTTTGCTGGTTTGAATTTAATCATCTGGTGCATGCTCTCTACCATCTCCAAGGAACTCAGAGCGGAGCGGACGGGAGCCACAGTGCAGGCTGTAGGCTTTGCTTTGAGCAGCCGGTCTGGAGCGCAGCGGGGCGGAGCGCTGACAGAGTATGTGGGATTTCGGGGTTAGCATGACATGTTGGTCATGTTGCTGTTAGCATAAACAAAACGTGTTGCACAATGCTTGCACACTGTTGCACTTTTATCCACAACTTTCTTTCCGCCGTCATGGTAGGTCACTCTAAATGCAAAGCGGTCCCATACAACAGACCTATAAAGTGCTGCTGGCGCGTCTTCCAACTCCTGTTCTTTTCCACTCGCCATACCCACACAATTCTACACAACTGATTTTTTTCTGCTACATCCGGCTACGCTGCTTCGCTTCTTCTTCTTCTTGTTTACTACTGGTGGTTGGCTTTGGTCGCAGTACCGCCACCTTTTGCTCTGGAGTGTAAACGCTTCGCCTATGAGAAAAAGGAGCAGCGCATGAACCGAACGCAACACACGCGAAACGAACCGAGACAGTCGAACCGAACGGTTCGGACGGTTTTCATAAACCGTTCCATCCCTATTAGAAATGGACACTAATTTTTTGCTAGTTCCTAGCATTTCAGAACCAGCTGTGGAACTAGCAACCAGTTTTAGTCTGTAAGGCAGACACTCTGTCTACTTTAAAGGTTAGACTTAAAAGTTTCCTTTTTGGTGAAGCTTATAGTTAGAGTGGCTCAGGTTATCCTGAGCTATCTCTATAGTTATGCTGCTATAGGCTTAGACTGCTGGAGGACAAAGGGACCCCTTTTTAATCATTCCAGTTCATTCTATCTATATTCTGCTATTCTGCAATATCTGTTGGTTCAATCTCTAACGTTCTGATCTCTCTGCTTTTTCTCATCATAGTAGCTTCATCTGGTCTGTTCCTGTTTGGCTGTGACATCATACTGTATAGAAATATCAGCTGTGCTGCTGCCATCAAAACCTTTGCTTATAGATGTTGGAGCTTGGCCTGTTTTCCAGTGTAGTCCTGTTTCTCTGACTGTGACTAACAGGATGTGCTCTCTTCATCCTCTGACATGGGAGCTGGCTGTGTGTTTCCTGGACGGGGGCGCATGTGGAGCTGGTTGACAGTTGCCTTTTGTATCTCTGCATCTTTTTCTATGTCTGCTTCTGTCTCCTTGAACCCCAGTCGCCCTCAGCAGATGGCCGCTCACACTGAGCCTGCTTATCCCTGTTCAAAGGGAATTTTCCTCTCCACTGTCGCTACAAGCATGCTTAGTGTGAGGGATTGCCTTCGAATCAATGAGTCAATAAAATCAGCTGGTTGTCCTTAGATAGAAAACCAATTTGAACCAATCTGACTGGACGATCTGGTGAATTGTCTCTGTAAAGTGCCTTCAGATGATGTGTTGTGAATCGGTGCTATACTGTATAAATAAACTGAATTGAATTCATTAAAAAGAAAGACAGCAACAAAATATAAAGAACAAACTTGAAAAACCTGATAAGACAAAAAGAACCCAAGTAAACATTTTTAATTCTATTTTATTTTATGTAATTTTGACCATGTATTCTCTCTGTTCACTCTATTTATAAACAAATGAGGTAAATGTCAATAAAAAAGTTCAATAAAAGGTTTTCCTTCAAGCGAAGATTCTGAGTTCTAACCTTTCTATTGGAAAATTGTGTTTGATCAGAGCTTGAACATCACGGTGCCGTTGCCTAGCAATACCACTAACTGGCCATAGATGTTGGTTTTATAGATCAGATCCTCTCGAGTCTACACGCCAAATACACGACTTAAATAAGCTTTTATTTCCCCAAACAAAACAAAACCTCAGCAGGAAAAAGCAAATAAAGAACAATCAGGTTCAACAGGTGGACTTGGAACTGACTGTTGATCATCGCAGGATTCACAGCAGGTCTGAACGTAGAAACACAGACATCAAATCAAAGAAAAGTCTACAGTAATCATGAGCTGAAGGACTAACGGAGTCCCACTAAGACCAGTTTGCTGAAGACAAACCAGCACACCCAGTACTGGACAGACACCTGCAGACGTCACGCTCTGCTCCAGCTCTTCAGCTGACAGGAGGAATGTGTTCCTGAGAGCGTCCAGATGACGCTCACAGCTCCCCCACCATAACCGAGCGCCTCACACCAGCTCCAGTGACACATCCCCTTTGGCCTCTTTTGTTTCCCAGACAGCTCCTAATAGGATCCTGTCATCCAGCCTTCCTGGAACACGCAGAGACTCGCGTCACAGAGAGCCTGCCACCGTGGCACCACCTCTTCATCATAACAGGCATCTGCAGGCCCAAAAGCTTCCTCATTACCCAGACACTCATTAAGCTCTTTATCCATCTGATACTTTCAATGTTATTGTTGTGAATCATCCTTTGATGATAGAAAGATCCAAACATCCAGATCACAAACATGTCTGCACTCAAAATGTGTTAAATGTCCCGATACCTTCTGCTCTCTATTAATAAATCCATTCATTTAATCAGCTCCCCTCAGCTTGGAGGTATCTCCATATAAACAGATCTCTTACCTGGAAGCTGGAGTTCAGTTTGAACTCAAACATCAATGACTTCAACATGCTGATTATCTGCTCTAAAAACACAGCAGTAAGTTATGAATAACTGGATGAAGTCACGAGGTGAGTGTTTCAGTAGGTTAATGAGGTCACAGACTGAAACACCTCCTGGATGGATGCAGGGATCGTCTCCTAGGCAATACTAGGCAGTTGCCTAGGGCCCCAAGTTCCAAGGGGCCCCTTAACACTCTGTTTACATGTATGGTTAATAAAACTATTCCTTATTTTTGCACATTAATTATGTTTTTAATAAAAACCCTTTTGCTAAAATGCCATCAGAACGCTTAGAATATTAAGTGTGTTGCAGCCCCCACCTTCAGTGTCCACCATATTGGATCAGTCCATTTGCTGCACATGTTCATAAATGTCCAAACAGACAGCAGCATGCAAAGAGCAGTGTTGCTAACTTAGCGCTTTAGTCGCTATATTTAGCAACTTTTCAGACCCCTCTAGCACTTTGATTTCAATAAAGCGCCTAGCGCCAGATCTAGCGACTTTTTTCTGCTACTGGAGACTTTGGAGACATCTAAAAGCCGCGAACTCTGCTCTCCAGAGCAAGTAGATTGGTAACCCCGCCTCCTGCTCTCCTCTATCTTGTCTGCTGTCATGATTCATGCAGCTATTATTTCATCCAAATGAAAAATGGAGAACAGATAAGCAGATCATGGCTTGTCTACAGTGAAAAGAAGGACTGGGTTATTTACTTTGGCCTTTTTGGAAACACAGGAAGGAGCAATCAGCTAAGTGAGCTTAGTGCTTGGAAAAAATCTTTCATTCCTTTAGAGACAGCATGAAAAGTCAGCTGAGTACAAAACATAGAGAGGAAAACAACAAGAAAAGGGACAAAATGTAGAACAAATAATGGATGTCTATTCTATTAACATTTCTCTATCTGTAGAATGGATCTATTTTATGTGTTGTCTTCTCAGCTCATAGGGCCCCCTGCCTGTCTTTGCCTAGGGCCCAACATTTCCTAAATCCGCCCCTGCCTCCACTGCTCCTCAGCTGGATGTGAGGGACAGCACCTGCTCCACTCAATGCAACAGTCATAATCATAATAATAATGATAAATCTTATTATAATTGAAGCTTTGGAGGAAAGCTACGTTTTCAGGCTTCTAGCAATAAGATCCAAACTAAACTCTGTGTTCTCTGAGGCTCTGTGTTGAACAGCTGGAGGAAGCAGGCAGCAGCAGATAGCAGGGAAATAATGGAGCCCTATCAGTAACGGTCAGCAGCAGCAGCCTGGCGGCAGGAACCAGCTCCGCTCTCATTTCCTTAC